GCTTAAACTCCCTTTTAACTTAAGAGTGGCATGATAATTTATTGCTGTAGGTAACCAATCCTCCTCTCAATATCACATCAAAATGCATCAATGTTCAATGGTAGATAAATACATAGTAAAACAAGATGATTATCGATGAGTGGCCTAACCACAGTATATGATGTTTCCGCACCATGCGATCGACGGCAGGTAGCACTAATCACCGGCAAAGCGTCCCGCAAGCTGCAACCGAGCCTGACAAATGGTGCGGGTGCACTCAAAAGAGCAGCTGTACATATAAGCACATGTCATGATACCTATCCTACGGAGTTGATGGTGCATACGGCTAGCAGATAGTTCCAATGGGTTTCTGAAAGGGTCTTTCAAAAATTTCCGGTAGGAGAACAGCATCCGATACCATAAGATGCCCTGTAGACCCCCGGACCCATACAATCCAATACATATGTCATTTTGTGTACCAAATAGAAGGATACCCTGACACAACGGTCTCTGTATTTTGCACGTACTCCCGCTAATTCGCCTAAACCTACGGGCGAAACACTCGCGCCCTGCCTCATGGGCCTCTTCCCCGCGGTCGGTATTCTACCCGGCCTTTGGGGTTAGGCTTACGGTCTCGCCTTACAGTTCCCCTGATGGCTTGCCACGCTTGCGTGAGCTTTACTTACTGGGCTTGTGGGGCACGAGCGGGCCAGTCTTTAACCATTGTGACCACCTTGCCACACCTGTAACCAGGCTCCAGATAGTTTTGCTAGCCAGACCCCTTTGTGCTTCTTGCCACAACTCACAACATCGGTGGTATGAACCCACTTCCTGGCTGGGGCTGGTTGTCGACCCGCGCGTATTCCTTTTCTTGTCTACCGGCTGGCGTTGTGCTTGACCTTTCCTTGAATTTGAAACGCCCCTACTTACTACGCAGCCATTTCGACGTTTGGCGCTGTTTCCAGTTTTCACGTGTTTCGATGTTTGACTTCAGCCATCAAGGCTCGGTCAGAACATTTACATACGTTCCCGCCGGCGGAGCTTCAAACACATATCTCTGTCGAGAACTTTTGAACATATCTTAACACAGTTGTTAACTCACAGAAGTTTGGCTGCTACAGTATCTAAGACGCGCGCTCCCCCAGTCCGCCAACCTACCAACAGGTTAACAGCATGAACAGCACATAAGGCTACCACAGCTGGGAGGGTAACATGAATTTAATAATCGCCTAATTGGCCTCGCGTGCCGCCCTGTTCTACATCTATCCTCAAACAAGATGTCTAAAACTAGGTACTAAGAATGCCAGAATGGAAATGAGGACTGCCAAAGGATGTGCAACTCAAGCGAAGGACTTATTTTCACGATTTCTCAGAAATAACAGAGTCTCCCCCGCCCGCCCGCTCAGAGGCCCAGGTGTTTCCCGGCCCCTCGACGCGCGGGTCACTCGCCAGACAAAGGTTTACGCACGCTCGCAAAAGCGTCCAACTTTCCCTCGGCTCGAGCCTGACTGTTTAAACAAAGTACTAGAATGGTCGTTTAAATCTCCGCTCGACGGCCCCCCGACCCGACCGCACCCGCCCGGCCTCCGACACCCGGGCCTCGAAGTTGAGCGGACATGACCCTCCGCTCGACGCCACATCCTCCGCTTGAGCTGCGGCACTGGTTTTAAAAACAGTCCAGAGAAGATTGCTGGATGCCTCGGAATTTCCCACCGCTCGGAGCGGCCACTTCCCCACACCGCGACCATCCGAGCGGAAGTGCAGATCCTGGGAATTCCAGATTTGCACCCTCCCAAGCCCTCAAACTCACATTCAAATGCATCAAACCCAATCCTCTTTGGGCCCATTTTCTGGAAAACATTTATAAACACATAGAATAATACCTAGTTCAAAGCTCCAATTTGAAAATCAAAAGCCCAAGGTATTTAATCACACTCAATTTCCAAAACCAATAACATTTAAACATGAGAGGGACATGCAATCATGCATGAATTTAAATCATTTTGAAGGCTTCCAAATTTGATGCTCTAGGACCAGAATTCTTTTCAAAAACCATCGGTGAAAAATCCATGGAACTTAAACCATAACATTATTTTATGAAACATGCCATGCTACCCTCTATCCTGGCCATGACACAAGCTCAACATCTCATATTGCGAAAACACGCATGCATGAAATGAGCTTCAATTCACCCATTAAATGAACCATTCATGACTTAGCTCTACAATTTAGACATGAACCATGCATGAACACTTAAAGAAAAATCGAAAAAGATGAAATCATAAACCTAGGTTCCTTGAATGCAAGTCTAGAGGTTTTAATCTAACAAGCAACCTCCTCTCAATCCTCCAATTCAAGCAATTCTAAAGATGAATCAAGTGAAAACACTCTACTCCTCTTTCTAGTGTCGGCAAAGCAAGGAGAAGGGCTGAGCAAAATGTGTTATTCAAGTGTAATGAGGCTGCAAATATATGTATTGAGTGGGCCACTAAGGGTGGCAATTTGGTAATTACGGCAAACTTTGCAATTAACTCATTTTAATCTCAATTAATCATACCTAATCAGTTTTCAGATAATATATCCATAAAATCACATTAATTATGATGATATCTAAAACATTAATCAATTCCGGATTCGGCCGCCGATAAGGCCTTCAATTAGCAGTTTAAACACTAAAACACGAACAGATCAAATAAACAATCAACAGATAGAATGCAATTCAAACGTACATACTCAGTCAATTCAGTTCCAGTTTTCAGTCAGTCAGTTCAATATTTTTAATCAGTTCAATTATCAGTCATAATCAATTCAGTTTAACGGTAATCGATGGTTATCGGTAATCAATCAGTCATTAATCGGTAAACAGTATGAGGGGTTGTTACAACAACATTCGCACAATGATGCTCTGGTGGTGACTTTGAAGATTGGAGACTGCAAAGTGAGGCTTATCCTGATTGATCAGGGCCATTCTTGTGATATCATGTATGTCAGATGTTACAAGGAGCTCAGTCTCCATAAGGATGATCTAGAGCAATCCGATAGCTCAATGGTCAGATTTAATGGGACGCCAATATGGCCGCTAAGAACCACGAGTCTGGAGGTGTAGGCAGGGACTAAGAAGGCAACTATAGAGTTTACCATAATAGATACTCCCTCCCCATACAATGTCATTCTGGGAAGATCTTGGCTGCATGTAATGAGGGTTGTTTTCTCAAAGCTGCACCAACTGTTGCGATTCTCAATTGAACAGGGGATTGGAGAAGTAAAGGGAGACCAAGTATTGGTGAAACATTGCTCCATGGCAACAATAAAGTACACCTTCAATGTGAGGAAAACAGAGACAGCAGAGATTGAAAGCAAAGACCGAGAGATCTTGGATGATGTCGACAAAGAACTTGTCGACAAGAGCGAAGAACACTTGAAAATGGTTCTAGTATAGGAAGGCGATGATGAACGATTCTTCCTCATCGGCTGTGGCTTGGCTAAGAAAAAGGAAAGAAAACTGGAGGAGTTTCTAAGAGAAAACATAAAAGTGTTCGCTTGGACACCTTATGAGATACTGGGGATCAGCCCCGAGGTTACATGCAACAAACTGAATGTGTATAGGTCGGCTAAACCTATCATTCAGAGATCAAGGAGACCAACTTTGAACCATGTACAGGCAGTTGAGGAAGAAGTGGAGAAGCTACTAGAGGCACAAGCAATTCGAGAAGTGAACTACCCCACCTGGCTGTCTAATACGATGGTAGTAAAGAAGAAGAATGATAAGTGGAAGGTCTATGTAGACTTCACTAGTCTGAACAAAGCATGCCCGAAGGACTGCTTCCCTTTACCCAAGATTGATCAGCTTGTTGATGCCACATCAGGGCATGGAAGAATGAGCTTTCTAGATGCATACAGGGGATACTACCATCTAACAATGTATGTCCCAGATGAAGTGAAGACAGCATTCATCACCTCCAAAGGACTTTACTGTTATAAGGTAATGCCCTTTGGGCTGAACAATGCAGGAGCGACATACTAGAGGTTGGTTACCAAGATGTTCAAGCATCTAACTGGGAAGACTGTGGAAGTCTACATCGATGACATGGTTATCAAGAGTAAGGAACCAGGAGATCATCTGGCTGACTTGAAGGAAGTTTTTGACATATTGAGGGCATACCAGCTTCGGCTGACTGCCTCAAAGTGCGCATTTGGGGTAGGATCTGGTAAGTTCCTAGAGTACTTGGTAACTAGGAGAGCGATTGAAGCAAGCCCAGATCAGATCAAGGCCATCCTTGATCTGAAAAGCCTGACAATAGCGAAAGAAGTCCAAATTTTGACCGGCAAGGTAGCAACCTGAACAGATTCTATAACGAGTTGAAGCAAATTAAATTTTTGCCCTTATTATTATTATTATTATCATGTTGTGAACCATTCTATTTAAATTGGTGAAAACAAATTATATTACTTGTTGATTTCGACTTCGTAAGGCCTATTTGGCAATTTTTTTGATTTTTTATTCTTGGGTCTTGAGTATTAAATGAGATATAAATTTAATTTTTGGGACTTATTTGATTAGCCCACACTTAAGCATTTTGGTTCATATTTAATTATGTGAATGGTGGGGACCACTTTAAGTCTTTTAAAATTTATTTATACTTGAATCTGAGTTGGAGACTTATTTTAAACTATTAAACTCCATTCATTTTGGACCCAATTGATTGAATCATGACCCGTTTGTAACCATGTATTATTGTTGTTTTTATTATTATTATTTATTTTATAATCTTGAGAGAGTTACAAATATTTATGGTGTGTACCATCAAACGAAATATATTTTGTGGTGAGAAAATATTACATCTTTTTTGTCATTAATGATGTTATAATATACTTTTAATTGATATATATATATATATATATACATATATAGATGTATATGTATAGATAGATATTTGTGTTGATTTGAAAAAAAAGAAAAAAATTGAAATCAACACATGTGGGCCCTCTCTCTCTCCTCCCTCATTTCCTTTCCTTTTCTTTTGTTCTTGACAGGCAGAACTTTCCCTCTTTTTCTTCTTTCTCTCTCTTTGGTCTCTCTCTCGGCTCCGGTTCTCTCTCTTTGAAATTTTTTTTGGTTACATTCATCACACAAATTCTATGATCCACCAAAATCTATTAGGTTTTAGACCCATGTTCTTGAGACCAAAGTGAAAAGCTTGGTGAGAGTAACGTTTTGACTTGTGGAGATCAAAATCCGACAAAGTCGAAAATTGGAGTTTTTACTTGTTTCCTCTTCTAGCTTTTGAGGTAGGGATTTTCTAAACATTGTGTATGTGTTTTAGCTTTATTATGTGTTATTTTGATAGTGTGATATTTGAAAAGATTAGGGTTTTATTAATGGTATATTAGATGTATAAAAAGGGGAAAGTTCTCAACTTTTTTTGAAAATCCATTGCTAGTTGTGTTTGGTTTTTGTATGACTCATGGATGTTGGAGAATGTATTTTATTCTATTCTATTTTATTTTTGAGAAACCCCCAAATTTTAATAAAACCTAAAAATTTAAATGTTAAGATTTAGATTTTTGGGATGAGTTTGTGAAAAGCTTACAAGAGTTAAAAATATATGTTTATTTGAATAAATGAGAATTTGAAAGTGGATGTTTATAGGGATGAGATTGATGAGAATGTGGTTGGGAATATTGAAAAACTATTGAGGTTTCTTTTGAAAATTGTTAAATTTGAATATATTGAACTTTTGAGAAAGATGAGAATATTTGTCATGTTGAGGTATTGAGAATTGTTGAAAGAAAGTATGTTATTTTTGGCATTATGAAAATTCTTGAGTTGAATAAAAAGGGAAGATTGATGATTTTTTTTAAAGAGTATTATGATTCTTGATTGAGTTGGAAAAGAGGAGATTAAACATGTGATTGTTACTTCTATGTTGAAATGATTGAAAATGTGAGATTATGCGTTATGTTTGTCTCTTGAAATTTATATTTTTGTATAGAGATAATTGTTTGGGCAACCGTGGAGGGTTGTATTGATTATTATAGAAGTAGCATGTGAAATAGGTAAATTTAAATATTTTCAAATTCATGCATGGCATTGAACATTGCATAGTCTAATGATTAAATTCTCGCATTGGATTTGAGAAATTGGTTTTGTTTCAAATTGATTCTTTGGGAATATTTGAAAAGTGTTGAGTTATGGAGTAAATACGTTTGGTAAGTCCGGATAGGGGGTGTAGTTTGATGTTGGTTAAGTTGGCCTGAGTGTCCAGGGTGAAAGACCGAAAACACGCGCGGAGGAGGTACCACTGCCTTTCCGGTGAGAGACTGGTAAAGTGGGAATTTGGTAGTACTCGATATGCCTACTTGCAGACACCAGCCTAGGGATTACTAGTGTCGTATTTATCGCTCCTTGTTCTATGAAATGGATAATTGAATTGGTTATGCTTTTGAACAAGTGCATGGTATGAGAGTTTCAAATGAGAAAACCTATGATTTTTGGAATTGGCATCTCATATGCATTGCACCTTATGATATTGTTAAACTTCATACACTTTATTTAGATTATCTCTGCTGGGCATTATGCTCATCTCTTAGTGGAAACCATTTTTCAGGTGATTATAGTGTGCCTTCGCCAAAGTGAAGGCGTGGAGGATCTTGTGGAGAACAAGGCTCAATTATTTATTTGTTTTGTTTTCTCTGCAAGCCAAGGGCTATCTATGTATGGGTTTGAAAACCACTTTGTTGTAACCGGGCAAAGCCTTGGAACTTGTAGCCGTTAAGGCATTAATTGATATTTTGTTGCTTTAACTTGTTATTATCACATGCTATAAAATTTCATATCTTAAGGATGATGAATGGATTAATGCAAGGGGTTTCCCTTCTGTGAAATCTCATGTTGGATATTGTTAATAGAAAAATGGTGATTTAGTATGAATGTTGACTATTGAAATGTCTGTATTATTCAATGTTGTTGTATGTAATAATGAGATTTAGATTATGCCTAAGAGTTAATCTAGATATATTCGATGTCAATATTTTTTGGGGGGTGTTACAACTTGGTATCAGAGCTATCGGGTTTGAGTACTTGGGGCTCGCGGGAAGTGATTTTTATTGTAATGGGTTCATTTTGCTAGTAAAAAATGTTGCACATCTCTGCAAGCCAAGGGCTATCTATGTATGGGTTTGAAAACCACTCTGTTGTAACCGGGCAAAGCCTTGGAACTTGTAGCCGTTAAGGCATTAATTGATATTTTGTTGCTTTAACTTGTTATTATCACATGCTATATAATTTCATATCTTAAGGATGATGAATGGATTAATGCAAGGGGTTTCCCTTTTGTGAAATCTCATGTTGGATATTGTTAATAGAAAAATGGTGATTTAGTATGAATGTTGACTATTGAAATGTCTATATTATTCAATGTTGTTGTATGTAATAATGAGATTTAGATTATGCCTAAGAGTTAATCTAGATATATTCGATGTCAATATTTTTTGGGGGCGTTACAACTTGGTATCAGAGCTATCGGGTTTGAATACTTGGGGCTCACGGGAAGTGATTTTTATTGTAATGGGTTCATTTTGCTAGTCAAAAATGTTGCACATCTTATGTGCTATGTGATAACATATTTATGTGACTATGTGGGTATAGGGTTAAACTTCTAAGATGTGATTTGCGTTCATGAGATTCTTAGAAGTCCTTTTAGAAAAGCACTTGATCAATGCTATTTCTATTTGGAAGTCTTTGAGTGTTTGTGGGACGAGCCAATATCTTGGAGGGTTAACTCGTATGTGCTCTATGTGACTATGTGCTTATATGGTTTGCCTTTTGTGATGTAGATACATGTGTAGGTTTATGTTTAATCCGTACGCAGCGTGTTAGAGCTAGTGTGGAGTACTTACTTTTGAGCTAAATTCTGTCTCTTATATAAGATGTCATAAAGCGGGAGAGGCCGTAATAGAGGCACTCGGGGTGCCCAGGTGTTCTCATGCAGGAGGATACCTTTCCCTCCAGAAAGAAGGTGTAAGCTAGAGTAATATGGCCGGGATGATTGGTCAAGATGTCGTGGAACTAGCATTGAAGTGTAGGCTTACCGATTTATACGATTGTAGGGTAAGTGTAGTAGAGGTTATGTTGCGTAGCGAATAGTTTGTTGTTATGAGGAGTTAATTATTTCTGAACTTTATATCAAGTTCGTAGAAGTGGACTAGATGAAAAATCTTAGTAGAGTGAGTTAGAGATTAACCTTATCATAATAGTATGGTTTGGTTGTGACTTTAATGGTGATTAAAGTAATCTAAGATAATATGCTTGGATTGTTGACATTAGAACACGTAAAAACTAGTTCTAAATTTTCATGGGATAGATGAAGTTAGTTATGGTTGAGTTGTTTCACTTGCTTGATGGACTACTTGTGAGGTTAGTGATGGGCCTTAGGCCAATTATTTTGTATGTGTTTGGGAATAAACATAGTCTTAGCATAATGGAAATTATAGTGTGTAATAAGAGATGTGTTTCTTAGAGAGTTTGTTTTATTCATAATTTTGCTGCAAATCCTAAGAGGGCAAATGGGATAAATAATTTTGAGATAGACTGGAATGAGATTAAATTTGATTTGGGTTGTGCCATTTGATGGGATTTTTAGTAGTAACAATATTGACTTGTGAGGTGATATTTTAGAACATATAGGCGAGTTTCGAGTGCCTTCGAGATTGGTGGAGTCCATTGTCTCAGAGTTAGTTGTTAATGTTCTCGAATGCAATAAATGAGGGTTGAGGGACATGGTGTGATAGATGTTGTGGAGTTGTGTTAGCAACCAATGTTCTTAGAGGAAATTTTTAAGATTACTTTGTGAGGATATTATAATTCTAAACTAGGTGCTTTAGGATAATTAGTATGGTGGTAATTTGAGTATTTCCATGAGAATTTATGCTTGACTCATTGAGAGTGATTGATGTTAACTTTTATAGTTACTTTTATGTATGAGTTAGAAATTGTGAAGATGGAAGGTAGAGGAGAGTATTTTGGGTTAAATTTGGTATGTGTCGCGATGGTGTGGTTCATAAAATGGAAATGGGGATTATTTTGTATCCCTTGTCCTTTAGCTACAAGATTGTTTTGTATCCTTGGTGTTAGAGTTATGAATCCCTTCTATTGATCCTTCGTTTTGCTACAAGTGTGGTGAGAATTCGTGTTGTTGGTATGTTGGTCTAATATTACCATTGAGTTCAATTTGAGTGTATTTGACCTTAAGTGGCTAGTGTTTTCTTAATTAAATGTATTTAGTTTTGCCTAATAGAAGATGATTCCTTATTTTAATTTTGGTTCATCGTGTTTTGTGGTGATATTACCTTAGAAGAAGTTATTTGGTAGACTCCTTGTCAGGGAATAAATTGGTATGAAGTACTCTCGTTATTTTGTTAGCCTTGGAAATTGTTATGGGATGACTATTGTTGACATAGAATTTTTTTTAGAGTGAATGAGTGGTATCATAGCTTGTGGTTGTATCTTTTAGAATTTGGGTAAAAGCGAGCTGGCTAAAGACTTCAAAGAGATTTCAAAGTCACTACAACTACAAGTATTTGTTTGGGTAACCTTTCGTCTTGAGTTGTGTAGGCCTTTCATGGTGAATCTGATATGGTAATTGGTGTTGTTATTTGTGACATGAGCAGTTATGAGGATTCGATTTTGTTTTCTTTGGACTTTAGTAAACTGTGGTGGATTACTTTTGAGTTAAATTATTTTTCAGGTGCAGAGCAAATTTAGTAGTGATTGGATTGAAATACTGAAAAGATTTATTTTAGTTAGAATTTTGTATCGAATGTGTAGTATTATTTCTTTTGGTGAGGGATGTACATTGAATTTCCTTTGGAGAGATTTTATTATAATTTGAGGTTAATCTCTTTATTAACTATTTGGAAATCTTAGAACTGTTTCAGTGTTAATCTTTATATGTGTCTTATTGTGATTGGTTTTGTATACTTCTAGGGTGAGAGGTAGACTATTTTGATAACTGACCTCAAGAGCAATATTAATACTTGTCAATAAGTGAGTTAGTGTAGTAAGAGTTGTTTAATTTGTGCTTGATCTCGCAGGTTATCGTAATATTAGTGTGATGTAGAATCATGTTGTAACTTTGGCATTAGTGTCATGGCTTGGATTTTAAAGAATGAGAGTGGCTTTGAGTTAACTTTTGTTAGGAGTACCTTAGTATTGTTAGAATGTGTATCTAGTCTTGATGAATTCTATGTGGACTCGAAATGCGTTGTGTGAGCGTTTGGGTAAATTCTATGCTATAGTGAAATTGTGTGGGTGGATGTAGATAATTTTGCGTAAACTGTTAATCGGTTCATCGAGTGAAAGAAATAGAGTGGATGGGTAAAAATAATACAAAAATTGTTTGGTTGGGCAACTAAAGTTGTGGCTAAGAATTTTTGAGTAGTGTGTTTGGCATGATTGCATTATGTTTCGTAAGGGTTGGTGTTTCTTCTTGTTCAAGTGAAGTAGTTGAGGCTAAGGTGATCCGTGAATTTTGTTTTTGGAATAATTCATGGAAAAATATGATTGTGTTAGGGGATGAATGGAGGTTCTCATGGGATGAAATATTTGAAGTCATTGTTTGTATTAGTTTTATTCAATAGGATAATCGAGTATGAATTCATTTAATATTGAGATGAGTTAGTTGTCGTGTGACGGTTGCGATTACAAGATATGTCATTGAATTGTGCCTCCAAAGGGAGGGTGTTCTCATTGATTAAGAGTCTTGAAATAATCACTTTGGGTGGATATTAAGTAAATTGTTGCACTAGACTATGGAAAAAATTGTTTGTGATGAGTCATCTTTAATGGTGTGTAATATTTGAATACTTTTCTGAGTGCTCTTCAAAGTAGTGGGATTCTTTGTTATTGTGATATGTTGAGTTAGTTGTGTGGAGTAAGCAAATTTTTTAGGTGTGTTTGAACGTGTTCAAGTGAGATTGTGAGTACGGTTGTATTCCAATTGCGAGTTCAATAGATTTTAATTAACCCCTTACATGTTGCAAAAACCACCTACGTTTTTTTTTTTCCTTCTATTATAAATTGTTCGTTGAAATTCTAGTACGAGTGGTTTTAAGTTGAGGGGTGGCTTCTATGGAACAATATATCTTGATATCATGGATGCTGGGTGTAGAAATTTTGTTTTTTAGCCTACTGAAAATTTGTTACTTCATATTAGTAAAATAATTTTGCGGATGTAATTAGAATGAGATGTTATCATGATTGTAGAGCCGATTGGATTAGACCGTTCGTCATTTTTGTTTGATTAAGCTATATACCATAATTGAGGAGTTATTATTGTGTTTACAAAATATGATTAAAGTGAGTTTGAGAGTTTCGATTTTGGTTACAGTGTCTTTTACAATGGAAGGTAAGAGAGTGTTAAATTCTTGAAAGTGAGCTTAGTACATGTTTGGGGTATTGAAAGAATGTGTCAATGTGAAAATGGCTATTGAGAGTTTGAGGCTCAAGTGATTATGTTAAGAGTAAAATTCCATTATTCTTTTTATAAAGACGAATTTCGGGGGCGAAATTCCTTAAGGGGGGAAGGTTATAACAATTCCGGTTTTGACCCAGCTCTTGTGATGTTCCGAACTGAGGTCTTATGTTTTCATATTGTTGTTTATTTCTTTCTTCCCTTGTATACCTTTGAAATTGGTCTTTGGGTTGTTGCAAATTATATTACTTGTTGATTTCGACTTCGTCAGGCCTATTTGGCAATTTTTTTAATTTTTTATTCTTGGGTCTTGAGTATTAAATGAGATATAAATTTAATTTTTGAGACTTATTTGGTTAGCCCACACTTAAGCAT